GCTGCAACGGCAGGGCGGCACCCTGGCGCTGCGCTTCATGGAGGGGCTGCAGGGCTGCGGCCGTTCTCCTCCCCCGGGAGGGGCCTTTAATTCTTGGTGGGAGTAGCACTTGCCCCCAAGGAGCCCGGAGGAGCTGGGTGCACTGGGGAGGGTTAAGGTGTTGCTTCGTCCTGGGACCAAGGGAGACAGGGTGCGAGAAGGCTCTCTAATGCATGGGGAGGGGACGCTGGCCGCCCAGAGGCATTGCCGGAAGTCACCGTGAAGAGAACAGAGGGGACTAGTAGTTAGCATAATAGCTATGTCGCTGGACTCCCACATAGTCAACTGCGGTTCACGTCCCGGACCTGGTGGCTTAAAACTCACGCTGGGCGCATGTGCGTGCGTGCCCAAGATCCCAAGAGGAGAATGGAGGAGAAGGGATTGCAGCGTGGCCATCCTCCCTGGGGAGTGATTGCTTGCTTTCTGTCTCTCTGTCTCTCTCTGGTGAGCACACATGCCCTATAGCAAAAACTTCTCCAAAAAAAAAAAGAGAGAGAGAGAACGGAGGTAACCGGAGGCCTGGCCAAGGGGCGCGTGGGCAGGGAGGAAGTCGGTGTGGCTGGGCCCGGCACTGGGTGGCCTGTTGGGAATGGCCGTCTCCTTTTACCTTGGCCATGGCCCTGCGGAGGTGGTGGCACCATCTGGAGTTGCAGGCAGAAGTGGAAGCAGACACCCCAGAGCTGTCACGGTGCTGCTCACTGGGTGGGGATGCAGGGTGTGGGGAGAGCCGGGGAGCAGGGAGGGGGCAGGGGCTGTCTGAGTGAGAACCCATCGAGTTTCAGATTGAGTGTGGCTTTTCTGGCAGTGCCTCTGAAAAGGGGAAGGCTCCCCCACTAGGGGCATCAGGGCAGCGTCCGCACAGGAAATAGGGTTGCTTCTGACTTTCTTGCTGGGTACAGCAGAGTGCCCTGTGGGCATCATGAGGGTGCCAGGAGCTCCCACATTCTGAATTCCTCAGCACGGGGGGACTGAGCGTTCCCCTGTGGGTGCAGGGCCAGATCGTGGAAGCCCCAGGACATGCGTGTCGGGGTGGGCTGGAGCAGCCAGTCAGGCCCTGCCAGGGGAGGGGTGACGAGCCCGGATTTCAGTCCCTTCCTCCTGAGTCCCCAGAATAAAGCAGCTTTCATTGTGCTGCCCCTCAGTTCAGTGACCTGAGAGGCTACTTCCACACAGAAGGAAGGTGGGGCTGCAGACAGCCCCCGGAGGACGAGGCTGGACATGGCAGGCAGAGTGGTCCTTTGTGGGTCTTGGAAGGCCTCGTGTCTGGCACTTCTTGAATGGCTCCACTCACTCGCACCCCAGTGGCAGAGAGCAGGGGCCACGGACCAAGCACGCCGGGGAGTGATGGCATGAACGGGCCTTTGGAGCGTTGCTTTCTAACTTAAAAGCATAAGTGAGCTTTGCATTTTTCTGTCCAGTGTCCTGCTTGTAAGATGTGTCCCATACCATTTTAGGAAAATGTATTGAAAGGCAGCCTCAGGTGTCTGCGACTTGGGGGTGCCTGTCCCTTTCGGGGGGCTCGGAGCAGAGAATGCCCGTCTGTCCCACAGGCTTCTGGGTTTGTCCTGCTGATCCCCTTTCTGTGGCCAGGTTGTAAGGAGTCTTGTCCCTACGTCCTGCAGGTAGCCTGGAGACCACAGGAGGTGGTACTAATGGAAGCCCTGGGTGACCATGTGGCTGGAGAGCCAGCATTCAGTCCTGGCTCTGCCCTCAACTTGCCCAGCCTTCCAGCCTTAGTCTCCTCACCTGCTGTGCCAGCCGCAGGTGCTGTGCATTGTGGCCGAGGAGAGGTGCTGGGCCGTCGGGGCTGCCTTGGGGACTGGAAAGTTCTTTGACCAAGTGCTGTGCGGGGGGCTGGGGCCAGAGGTGGGTGTGTTGGAACATTCTTTGCCACCTGAGGGGCTTCGCTCCTGCCGTTCTCAAGACTCCACATGGTGGTGGTGGGGCCGGGGGGACACAGGTGCTGCTGGTGATGCTGCCCCTCCCTGCAGGTGTGAATGACAGAGGTGGTGCCGCCCAGCGCCCTCAGCGAGGTCAGCCTGCGCCTGCTCTGCCATGATGACATAGACACCGTGAAGCACCTGTGCGGAGACTGGTTCCCCATCGAGTGAGTGCAGCGGCTCAGGCCGCAGTCATGGGGTGGGGAATCCACAGCCGCTGGGCCGGCAGGGGCCTCCAGACCCCCGCTCCTGCCACCTCACCAGGATCCCCTATGAAGTGTTTCCCAAAGCGCACTGCTGAGAAACTAGCTACAGAGATGTGCAGTGCCAGGCTGCTTACCTCCCAGAACCACAGGAGCAACTTTGCTACAGGGCACGTGCCTTCCCTAGAGAGAGACAGAGAAGGAAAGTGAGAAATCAGCCCCCGAGGGGTGGCCACACCAGTCTTCTCCATTCTCCTCTTGGGATTTTGGGCACGCACTCACACACATGTGCCTGGGGTGATTTTCAGGTCCCCGGGTCCACGACTGGGACCATAGTCGGCTATGTGGGAATCTAGTGCCTTAATCTAGTGCCACCTGCTGGCCCTGCAACTCAGGTATTTTAAGAGTAAGGAGTTGGTTAAATGTGTTGGGGTGTGTGCATACGAAATGCAGTATCATCCAGGAAAGAGATCCATTGTAGAGGTGTAGTTATTGACAGGAAAAGGTGGGGTTTGGGTTTTGTGGGGTTTTGTTTTGTTTCAGTTTGTTGGAGTGTAGATGCACTTACCAGGGCGAGGGAGAAAGCACCCCGCACCCCCATGGGGAATGGTCAAGCTGTAGTCCCTTCACCATTTCCCCCTCCTTTCAGGATTTTGGGCATGTACATATATGTGCCTGGCATGTTTTCTAAGCTGCTAGGTCTGGGACTCAAATCTTACAACCAGCCATGTGGGATTGAACTCCCTTACCCACCAGGCCGCAGGCTGACCGGACAGAGAAAGTTTCTTATGAGACACTGAATGAAAAGGCAGACTAGAATGCCAGCGTGTACCAGATCCCGCGTGCGTGCGTGCATTCATTCCCAGCGTGTACCAGATCCCGCATGCGTGCATTCCCAGCGTGTACCAGATCCCGCGTGCATGCGTGCATTCCCAGCATGTACCAGATCCCACGTGCGTGCGTTCCCAGCGTGCACCAGATCCCGCGTGCGTGCATTCCCAGCGTGCACCAGATCCCGCGTGCGTGCGTTCCCAGCGTGCACCAGATCCCGCGTGCGTGCGTTCCCAGCGTGCACCAGATCCCGCGTGCGTGCGTTCCCAGCGTGCACCAGATCCCGCGTGCGTGCGTTCCCAGCGTGCACCAGATCCCGCGTGCGTGCGTTCCCAGCGTGCACCAGATCCCGCGTGCGTGCGTTCCCAGCGTGCACCAGATCCCGCGTGCGTGCGTTCCCAGCGTGCACCAGATCCCGCGTGCGTGCGTTCCCAGCGTGCACCAGATCCCGCGTGCGTGCGTTCCCAGCGTGTACCAGATCCCGCGTGCGTGCGTGCATTCCCAGCGTGTACCAGATCCCGCGTGCGTGCGTGCGTTCCCAGCGTGTACCAGATCCCGCGTGCGTGCATTCATTCCCGCTTTTATCTTACAACACGCCCACAATACCAGCTGGCGAGGGTCCATTCCACTTAGCAGGGTCTTACATAGTTTGAACTTGGTAGCTTACTAATGTCTGTAGTTTCCTGTTTTTGCTTTTGATGTAGATAACATATTTTTATATTTTATGTAATATGTCTGTATAGCTTTTGTAATGAGAAAGATAGATACCAACTCTTTGAAATTAAAAATGAGCAAGAGCCTACCAGGCATCAGTGCCTCCATGAGTCTCAGCCTCAGATTTGTTTGATCCCCTGCTGGCCCGAGGGTGGGGCAGGCCTCCTGTCCCTTGCAGAGGTGTGAGCTGTCACGGCCTCCTGAGGATGTGACTGGCAGAGGTGTTAGAGGTGGAAACCTGCACGGTCCCACTGCTGGAGAGGAAAGTGCGTGAGCATGTAAGCAAAGCCCTGCGGAGAGCTGCCTGGGCCCAGGAGACCCACACTGGGCCTCCCTGCTGCCCCAGCCCCAGCCAGCCGCCCTGCATCTTGGGCCTGAGGCCTCAGGCTCCTGAGATGGTGGGGACTGTGGTCAGCTGGGCCAGGAGGTGGCAGCACCACAGCACTGGGTCCAAGGAAGACGAAGAACCGAGCTTGGACAACGCTCGGGCCCTGTAGAAGGCCTTCAGAAGGGGGTCAGCAGCCTCTGCTGAGCAGCCACTCTCTGTGGAGTTGCCTCCTCCCACTCTCAGTCTGAAGAAGGGTGTCCCAAGGTGACCTGTGAGGTCTCCCCAGGTTTAAGAAATGAAGGCCCGAGTTCTCTCCCTGACCACGTCTCTCCGGAGCAGTGGCTGGGTCTGTCTGTTAATGATTGTCCTGGGCCTTTTTACTAAGGATCTTCTCCCTTGCTCCCCTCAACGAGCTCTGGCCTTGTTCTTGGTGAGCAAGCCCTAGCAGTCCTGGCCACACATGGCCTTGAGGGTGGGGCCCCACCCATCTTGAGAAGTGTCTCAGCGGGGAACTTGGCTCTTTGAATTGCTTGCTCTGGTCTTCAGTGTCAGAAAGCCTCACCACGCCCTCATGGGAGATCAGCCAATTGGCTGGGGGCTACCAGGACCCAGGAGCCCTGACCCACCCAGCTGGGAGCCACGCTCAGACGGTCCTGCCGACTTTCCCGTCAGCAGCACCAGTCCTGCAGTTCGCACCCCTGCTCTGGCAGGGCAGCCATGACCAGCAGGTAGAGGCAGAGCGGAGGGCAGAGCCCTCATCGGCTCAGCAGGGGCAGACTTGGCCTGGAGCCCCCAGGCCCTGATGTCCGGAACTGGCACTAGCTGTACTCAACCCGTGGGGCTCACCTGCGTGTCCTCTCTCCCAGGTACCCAGACTCCTGGTACCGTGACATCACATCCAACAAGAAGTTCTTTTCCCTCGCTGCAACCTACAGAGGTGCCATTGTGGGGATGATAGTAGCTGAGATTAAGAGCAGGACCAAGGTGCATAAAGAGGTATGTGAGCAGTGGCTCAGCTGTCACGGTCACCGCACAGGCTGACTGAATCCTGCTGCCTGCTCTGTGGCCCTTTGTCTTAGCAGCCTGTGACCTGAGGGATCCAGGGTGGCCAGTGGGCCTCATCCTCGACCGGCTTGGTGTGTGCGTGTGTGAGTGAGTGTGTGTGTGAGAGAGAGAGAGGGACAGTTACACACATGCCTTTGTTCATGCATTAAGTAACGGGGCAGCCGCAGCCTTAGCAAGCGCCATCCTTTAGAAGTAGGGTTGGGTACAGACGAAGCGTTGAGAGCCACAGGGTCAGGATGTGGTGTGGGAACGTCTGGACCATGTTGGAAGCAGCGTCCTGGGGCCTGCCAAGGCCATTGGGGCTGTTGGAGGACGCGCTGGGTTCCAGGTGGAGATGAGTACAAGATAGAATTTCTTTCTACCCACCCTCAGAGGCCCTTCCAAGATCTAAGAACCCCCTGGGGATCTGACCCCCCAGGTTAAGAAGTCCTATACTGAATAGCAACTACAAGGCTATGGCCATAGGCGTGGTGTCCCCTGAGGTGGACAGTTTGGGTCATCTTCGCATGCAGGTGGTGGTTACCACAGAGGCATCCTCCTCAGGAGAGACAGAGCCACCACCAACGTCTGGTGGTTCTCAGTCTTCCTGAGGGTGTTCCTTTAAGAGTGCAAGGAGGGACAACTGCCCCTGTGAGGACCTAGCCCACCACGCCCTGTCTGTCTGCCGTGGTTATATCTGGCACAGGTGGGGGTTTTTGTTTTGTTTTTTTAAGAATTATTTTATTGGGCCCAGCAGTTAGTGTAATGGCTGTGTCGCTGGACTCCCGTGTAGTCAACCACGGTTCAAGTCCTGGACCCAGTGCTTGAATCTCAGGTTGGGCACGTGTGTGTGTGTGTGCCCAAGATCTCGAGAGGAGAATGGAGGAGAAGGAATTGCGGCATGGCCATCCCCCCTGGGGAGTGATTTCTCGCTTTCTGTTTCTCTCTGTCTTATTGGCAAGCGAGTGCACCCTATAGCCAAAAAATAATAATAATAATTAATCAGTGACTTATTTGTTATTATTATTGTTGTTTAATTTGTCATAGGGTTTGCACGCTCACCAGATGGGCAAAATGAGAAAGCAAACCACAAGGTTCAAGACTTGAACCGTGGTCAGCTATGTGGGAGTCTAGTACCTTAACCACCATGCCATGCTACCTACTGGCCCCAGGTGGGCTTTTGTTTGTTCCTTTTGAGAGTTTTTTGCTCTAGGGCACGTACACTCACTAGAAAGAAAGAGACAGAGGGACAAAAAGTGAGAAATCATCCCCCAGGGGGAATGGCCACGTCACAATCACTTCTCCTCCATTCTCCTCTCGGGATCTTGGGCACACACGCACACGCGCCCAGCGTGAGTTTAAGCCACTGGGTCCGGGACGCGAACCGCAGTCGACTACATGGGAGTCCAGCAACATAGCCATTACGCTAACTGCTGGTCCCAGCTTGGTAAAAACCAGAGTGGCTTTCCTATTCAGCTTTCTCTTTCCAATTTTCAGTGCTAAGATACAGCAGAAAGCTGGTGACTGGATCATCTCTGTGCCCCTCTTAGATGTATTTGATTCCTTGAGCTCAGCATAGAGACCCTGTGCTTCTACTCCCCTATCCTCATGAGAGGGGCCTCTGCACCCAGCGCTTACCTGTGCCTCTCCAGGAGGCTGCATGAATCCCAAACCAGGCAAAGTAGGGCCACTGGGGAGCAAGCCCCCATCCCTTGGGCTTCAAGGAGCAAGAGGGATGAGACTGCCCTCCTCTCTAAGACTGGCACGTCTCGGGTAACCAGAACAGGGGTGATGGTGACCCCCACCAGCCCAAGGAAGCAGAGCCAAGTGGCCAGTGCCCTGCCCATATGCCAGGTGCTTTGGTTCCATATAAGCTGGAAGAACAAGGCAGTTGGGCTCTTGACTCTCCCACGCAAGATCCATCTCTAGAGCCAGGAGACACTTGGAGGGGTTCTGTGGCCTGTCACAGCAGCGGAGGATGGTGGGTGGGATGCCCTAAACCCCTCCTCCAAGACACCTGGGGGCCGCGTGTGATCCTTGACCGAAACTTGTAATGCTCTGTGTTTATCTGGCTGTCCTGTCCCTTGGTGCGTCAGCTGATGCATGTGGAGGCCCAGGCCCAGTGGGGGCCATGCAGCAGAGCTGTTCCCTGCTACTGCCAGGATGTCACCTTAGCTGGCATCAGAGTTCTTCCTGTCCCTGGCTAGTCTACTGGCCACCCCCAAGAGCAGCTTTTCTGGGTGTGTGCACTTTTAGCAGCATTTCGCCAGAAGGCTTGTTTCTTCTCACAGCCGTGAGCAGGTGGGGTGACGTCCTGTTCTCCTTGCCCCACCCCACCCACTGCTGGGTCCCCCCAGGTAACAGGGCCAGGGAGGCCTGGGCTGTGCTCTGCAGTGAGTCCGTGTGCCTCCACATGTTAACCTCACCCCCTCTCTCACTTTCTCCGTAGGATGGGGACATTCTTGCCTCCAGCTTCTCTGTTGATACACAGGTCGCATACATCCTAAGTCTGGGAGTGGTGAAAGAGTTCAGAAAGCATGGCATCGGTAAGGGGGCGGAGCTTGTGATTCTGGGCATGCACGGGGCCACCCACCACATCCAGTCAGCGCCCTCGCCTGTGCCCTTGTCTGACATCCTAGCTCTCGGCCATCTCTTGGTCCCTTCATCTGCTCACATCTTGGGCCCGACCTTCACCTCTTCCCTCCTAATACATCTGGCCAGGGCTTTCTGCCATAGCCACCTTCTCGAATCTGACATGACCAGATTCACACCGGCTCCCTTTGCATTCCTG